ACAAACAAACAAACAAACAAACTTTTTCCTAGGCCAAGTTAACATGATGGCGTTTTGTTCTATGCTACCTTTTTTTTTTCCACCGTAAAAATTTGACATTTTGCAAACAGTACTATGTTGTTTCGGTTCGAAGATTATATGAATATTTTTTAACAGACATCTCTGAATGTCTTAAAATTCTTAAAAGAACTTGTCGTTTTGCACTGGAACCGTACGTGGTCTATTAGCGTACTCGAATTGTGAATCTGAGGATTGACGGTTCGCGCTCCGATGCCATGAAACACACTCCGCGGTATGAGACTGTGGGTACCCTATAAGAGTGACAGTCAAATCTTACAATTCGATCGGTGCTACGGGTGTTGTTGACTAGCTGTCTCCCCTCTAGCCTATCACTTCAACATTAGGGACAGGTAGCACATAAGGCTCAAAGTAGCTTTCCATGAAATTCAACAAAGAAATCCTGAACTGCAGGCTGAAGTAGAATCATTTTTTGCTAAACATAATACAAGGTTTAAGTTAACAAGGTTCCATAAGAGAAAATAGCTTGATATTTGGGAGGAAATATACGAACTATTTGACTTAATAATAATTTGAATGTAGTGACACAGAGTTCTTTTTTATGGCACTAAATACCCGTATGATTATATCTTTCGGCAAATCTTACAGTACCTTTCCATTTACTACTCTTAATTTATTTTCCAGCATGTAAAAGGTGCCTTCTTGCATGTAATTGAAACACTAAGGTAACCGAAGAATTTTTCCAGTAAGTTTTGGTTCGCAGATTGGTAAATGTTGTTGATAAAAATCGCATAGTTAAAAAAAAAGCACATGTCTGTTTGTTTTTAAGCTCAAAGCTACACAAAGGGCTATTTGTGCTCTGCCCACCACGGGTATCGAAACCCGGTTTCTAGCGTTGTAAGTCCGCAGACATATCTTTGTGACACTGGGGGACGAAAAGCATATGCTAATAGTGAGTTCAATCTTAATAACAGCATGCCTTAAACAGCTATGTTTTTTAAGTAAATTTTCCCAGTTAATGATTTTCATAGCTTACAAAATTTACATAGAGTATGAGGGTAGGGACTAAAGGACTAGATTTATGACTTCTAAGATCTTTGTTAAAAAAAAAGGATTTTCACGAAAAAATGTATATTAGAGCTTTGAAAAATCAAATAAAGCGTGCACCAATAATAATTTACTTCAAGTTTTTAAATTTATATGAATGTTTAGTTCTGGTTTTAATAACCCAATTTTATTTCATTTGCAATAAACTAAAAATCTTTTTATGAAAACATTTTTTCGGTGAAATCATATCCTCTATTGGAAAAAAAATCCGAAAATTATTCATATCGTTTATATTATAAACTTTCCAAAACAATCATTATACAGATGCTCTACACAAATATTGTCCATTACAAACACCATTTTCTTTATTGTTGTTGTTTTGGTTTAATTTAAAATTATTCACCTGTGGCCCACTAAAATAAGGTTTTGATACTAGGGGTGGACAGAGCACAAATATCCCATTGTGTAGCTAACAACCAAAAAACTAACTTTATTAAATCGTTTAGCGTAGCAAATGAACAAAAATCTAAGGCACATTATTGTTTGAAAAACAATAGTGAATTTTCTACCAAACGCCACCAAATCAGAGCTCTTCACATTAAAACTCCTTCTGTCTGGGATCATTAGTTTGATGTCGAATGCTATGTCACTAAAGCAGACTGGTTGTGAAATGTTTATCATCAGAGAAGGATGCATAGGTTACTAATATAGTTCCTTAACCATGGGTGTGACTACAGGAATCAGTAGAAATCGCTTACATATCAGCATCGGTAAAGTTAGCGATATATCCCTTAGAAAAGATGTTAAAAGAGTCGTATAATAATTTATCGAATCTATGTCATATTATGCTGATTTTGCGTGTTTCGAACACAACAAGTTTTAAAGTTAAAAATGAGATATTACGCATGCTTAATGTACATAAAACTTACTGTGTATAAAACTTCGAAACACTATTAACCTTTATTTTATTACTGTTTTAGCTAAAATAGCTTAATGTTTTGTTTTTTTATTAGATGTGTTCTGGAGGGTTATTGCCACGCACCAGATTGCGAATATGGACCTTATGATGTCATTAGCGGGAAATGTTCCAAACGTCCAGAAAACTATAAACGAAAGAAACACAAGTTACGGAATCATAATCGTCACTATCACAGATGGGCCTTTTTTGAACGAGACTAGTATGTAGTGATTTAAATTATAATATTTGTTTCTACCTAGTCTACAGAATCCTAAAAAATCCTGTGACTTTAGCCATGCGCTGGACGTGTTTCTGAGGCTCAACCAATCAGTCGACAATCTGCCATAACAACATCACCTTTGGTGATGCATGCAGGACTGTTTTAAAATATTAAGTGTTCGAGGAAACTTTAAACATTTAGTATTTGAAAAACATAAACAACTGATCATTCATAGATATTTGCCAAGATGCAAATACTTGTGTTTTATATTTAGAATTTATTTCACTTCATAGTTATTTGTATCCTTGTTCATTTTAATCCTTTTCTATTTAAAATTAGAGTTGCTTGAAATATTCCAAGTTTCCTTTAATGGAAACTTTTTTTCTAAATGATCGTAAAACTATGTTATTCAGTGGAATATCATAGCAAGTCGAGAACCTATATTAGTATATAATACGTGAATCTGTGTGATAAACAAGTATACATTCAAATAAATGGAAGAACGATCTTAAACATTTGTTTGAAATTGCTTATATCATAATGACGAAACTCGGTGTACGAGTAAATAGGATATATTTACTGTGTTCGTATTGAAATATTTGTTAAAGGCAAAATTTGTCAACCAATTTACAGTTTCGAGAAACTGAGTACTTTTCCAACACTTGACTTGAACGTAAAGTTCGGCCAATATTTTGTAACATTACATACTCCAGCTAAGGTAAAGTAATGTTTCAGTATTAAGAGTTCTTTAATCTATTTGAAAGATAATCATGATATAAGCAACATTAATATAAGGTTGAAATACTTAATCTCAAATAAAAGTATTACAATTAAATCATATAAATAGCGAATCACTATTTGTTGCAACAATAATATTTTTTTTTCCAAATCTTTTTAAGTGGTTATTAACAAAACATAGCTGTTAATTTAATATCAAAATCAACAAGAAAAAATGATAAAATATATTAAACAGCACTGTGTTTGTGACTTTAGATTTGTGTTAATCGCAACTCATTAGATTATCATGACATTAAATTCATGGAGAGAAACTTTGGTTTTATTAGAGTACTCAGTAAGTTATCGTGACTTTGGTTTTATTGATTTGTTTTATATAATTTAAAGTTTTGAGGAACAAATACGTCATGGAGTATAGGAAAACATCCTGATGTTGAAAATATGCTGATGTTGTTCCTGGAAGACGAGTTTGTTATCACAACAAGTAACATTTACTTATTTTATTACCGACATTAATTAGCACTTTCAACTTATTCAATGGAACGTGTAATGCCCATAATGCAATAAGAGAGAAGTTCCCTGGCGGGTCAGCGATAAGTTTACAGATTTAGATCACTAAAATCCGGAGTTCGATTCACCGCGGTGGCCAGAGTGCAGATAGCCGATTGTGTAGCTTTGTGCTAAAAGAAGCATACAAGTAGAGCTAAAAAAAACTGTAAATAATAAAATTTCAAAACAGTGCTAAATAATTTAGGGTTAGTTTATTTTTCCAGTAGATATTTCGGTAAGTGTGTAGCTTGTGAAGCGAATTTGTGTAAAATTTATAAAAAGAAGCTTCAGCGTGAGCTCTGTTTACGTGTGATTGATAAAGGAAGGATATTCAAGAGATTTGTTTATTGAATATACACTATATATATATACACCATGTCCATCAATAACTAACGATTCGCCATGCTTGCAGTACTAGGAATTTTAGAGAAGTGTAGAATCTAACTTTACTGATGTTAGCTTTGTATTACTAGGTACATCGTTAAGTAAAAGGCTAGATAATTTTAAATTGACGTACTGCTGATGTCATGATTCGTTTAATAAACTTTACAAATTAAGACTAGTACAACATATACATACGAATAGAACTGTAACGAAATAAGTAAAAATATACATATTTCTATCCTGGCACATCATTGTGAAGAAACTAAGTTCACAGTATATAATATAACAGTTTTGGGACTGAATGCTCTGTTTTTTACATGACATATGAATTCTTAATGTGCTATATTTAAGACGTGTTAAGATATTTAAATTTCCAAATGTCAATTCAAAACTTAATTTTTTTCAGACTATGTGTTCGAGTACAATGTTTAAGCTTAATGAAAGGTTTGTGTATTCTGCAAAGAAATAAAGGTGTTTAATTTGCATTATTTTTTATGTTCTGTATTGTTAATCTCAATAAAAAGATGTAATAAAACATCCACAAACAGCAAAGTATCGCAGAATTAATTAGCAAAGTTTGATGCAGCTGTCATGTTTCAGGCTTAGTTAAAAATATGGTATTACTAGAAATATTTCGCTTTGCGAGTATTTAAAAGTTGCTAGTGTTCGACTGGAAAACATTTTCAATAACAGAAACAAGAATATCTGTTTAAAGTATTATTAAATAATTTAGGTTTATAATTCGTGTTCACAAAATTTCAAACCTCTTTACCGTTGTTATAGGTTTTGTAAAAACATGAATAATACTTTTTCAAGTGTAATTTATCTACTTTTGTTTACATGGGTGAATTAGGTTTTCCTTGTAGGTCCACACATTACTTCACCAGTAAAATGGGACACGTTGGAACATTTATTAGAGAAGTAAAGTAACTTGTGTGTGTTTCTTAACACTTTTGCAAAATTTACTGTATTTTCAGGTTATTCACTAACCAAAAACAAGGAAAAGCCAGTAATCTGAAACAACTATATGGTTTTATGTCAACACTTAGGTATGAGAACACAAACCACTTCCCGCTTTGTATTTAAAATATCATATAACTATATACATGTATGAGAACACAAACCACCATCTGCTACATGTATGAGCCCACTAACCATCTCGTGCTTTGTATTTAAATCATCATTTAATTTTGTACATTTATTAAACACTATCCTCCTCGTGCTTTGTATTAAAACGTCATCTAACTATATACATGTATGAGAACACAAACCCCCTCTTGCTTTGTATTTAAAATATCATCTATTTATGTACATCTATTAAACACTAACCCCTATTGCTTTGTATTTAAAACGTCATCTAATTATGTACATCTATTAAACACTAACCACCTATTGCTTTGTATTTAAAACGTCATCTAATTATGTACATCTATTAAACACTAACCCTCTATTGCTTTGTATTTAAAACGTCATCTAATTATGTACATCTATTAAACACTAACCACCTATTGCTTTGTATTTAAAACGTTATCTATTTATGAACATGTATTGAACACTAAACCCCTGTTGCTTTGTATTTAAAACGTCATCTAATTATGTAAATCTATTAAATACTAACCACTTATTGCTTTGTATTTAAAACGTCATCTAATTATGTACATCTATTAAACACTAACCACCTATTGCTTCGTATTTAAAACGTCATCTGATTATGAAATGTATTGAACACTAAACCCCTTTTGCTTTGTATTTAAAATGTCATCTAACTATGTACATGTATGAGAACACAGATCACCTCTTATTTAACCGTATGCTGAACTGTTATGTGTAACTCATAAACCTATCAGGTGATGAAGATCTATGCCATAACGTCATCCAGAACATCTAGGGCAGAGACGTTACAAAGAAATCCCCAATCAAGTATAATGTTCTCTGCCTAAACTTTCTATTAAACAATAACCTTAAACATTACACGAAAAAAAAGTATTTGTACTTATATATTTTATGTTTAAAATTAAATTGACCAGATTATTTAATTTGATTGTAAATTTTACCAGGATTTTCAGTAATGTTTAGTACAGTCTAATAATTCATTATAGGCATTAAAAGAAGTCTTTAAAATGTACAAATTGTAAAAAGTTGTAAACGTTTGTAATTTTAATATAAAAGACCCGTTAAAAATTATTATGCAGCTGAAACTTTATTCCATTAATATGCTCATATTTACTTTTGTGACAGTATCTAAACGATTATAACTAAACACAGTTTGATATATATATCCAATAACCACATAAATAGGCAATCTCAATATTAAATATTTATTTAAATATTTAGCCTATTTGCAACGTTAAAACTGCTCATCAGCCAATAAAAAAAAGGACATTTTAATTGTTGTATCTATGCAGCTTTTCTGTCAGACTAGCACAGCTTTTGGGAAATAGGTTGTAATAAAGAGTAATAGAGATTTGACATTAGTAATCTATCATCTAACATTTGTTTTGAATTGTGAGTTGTAAGAAAAGTTTAGGTTAAAGAGAATCGAACGCGACTCGCAGTAATAATGGTCTCTGACTAAGACTAAACTATATTAAGTCAACTATTTCTTTTATCACTTAGCAAATTAAGAACAAACGACATGAATCTTCAAATTCAAAAAACAGTTCTTGTTCATCTCCACATGTAGTTTTACTCTTTCAATTAAACCTGATCCCTGAAGAATCACAAAATCAAAGTTATGTTGGTTGAATAGTCCACCTCTATTCACTTACAACCACGACTCGTCTCCAGCTTTTATTCTTCTACTTAAACATGATCCCTGAAAAGACACCAAATTAAAATTATTTTGGTAGAATAGCCCATCACTACTCGCATATAACCATGATGTGTGATCTTCACATCTGAAGCAGGTGATCACAGAAGTAGTTTAACAACCAAACATAAATTTTTTAATCGTTTTTAAGCACAAAAGCAATTTCTACATGACTGTCAATAGTTCAATCAAAGTACAAACAACTTCGATCCGAATTTTTGAAGTGCTTCTACAAATAAAATGAACGGTCAGGGACCCCCATGAGAGCAGTGTTAACTAGTGGTGATGTTAGTATGTTTATTAATGCATACGAATACCAATAAATGTAGGTTCAAGCGATTTTTGAGAGAGATTAATTCTGCCTAAAATTTGGTTAGAGTAAAAACTGGTTTTAGTAGATGCTATTTGATATGATGTGATATATTTTCATTTTTAAACCTCATTTTAAATTGTTTTAACTATTTTTATAGAGTACTTACTGGTTTTAAGTTAATATTTTATTACTGTGTGTCCCCCGAGGGAACAGCGGTAAGTTAACGGACTCAGAACGTTAAAATCCGGGGTTCGATTCCCCACAGTGAACACAGCAGATAGCCCGATGTGTCTTTGCTCTAAGCAAACAAACTTTTATATTTGTGTAGTAGTATTGAGCTTTCGTTCTTTGTAAGTATAAATAAAATATGTATCTGGTTTGTTTGAAATTTCGGTAATTAGAGGGAAGGCATCTTGTCATCACCGCCAACTCTTGGGCTACTCTTTTAGAAACAAATAGTGGGATTGACCGTCACATTTTAACGCCCCCACGGGCATGGCCAGGGTGCTCGACTCGCAATCTGAGGGTCGCTGGTTCGAATCCCCGTCCCACCAAACATGCTCGCTCTTTCAATTGGGCAATATGTATCTATAACTACCTATATGAATATGTTGCTTTTTGATGTTTTTTTCCAAATCAAATGAAGTCAGTTTACATTCGCAGTGAACAAAAGCCTGAATAATTATTGAATTATTAATTTTCTTAACTGAATAATTGCGTTTACTGATGGGGGAAAGGTGATATTATATTACTTTATTTACCAACGATTAGAGCTGTTTTATCACAGTAACTTTTACAGTATTTAATGTTGAAGATATATCGCCTTTATATGTATATACAATTATTACGTATTTAGTATTTTCAACCTGGACAACATCTTACTCCACTAAACGGCCTGGTTACAGACCCCAAAATTCAGGCATAACCATTCTTAATTGTAAAATACTGACCCTGGAGGGAAGACAAACCAGTCAATAGTTTTTACCACCGACACAACTATTGTTAACCGAGTAGAGAGTTTTTCTGTCTTAATTACAACACCCCTACAGCTGAAAATTCAAACATGTTCAACGCATATTGTGGATCAAACCTTGGACCTTCAAGATCTGTGACCTGGAACGCTAACCTGTAGACCACTCCCGGCTCACAGTTATGATGTATCTTATATTTCTATCGGAAGATTGAATACCATTTTTTGAAAGTTAAAAAAGAACCAAAAAATTACTGAACAATTCCCATGAGTAAGGTCAGTAAACGCTTACAATCTTAGCATTTTATGTCCATGCATAAACAACAAGAGTGGATTAGGAATCAAACAACTGCAGTTCAAGATCTAATTTTGAAGCAACAAACAAATGATTTATTGTTAACGGTTAATAATTTCTTTCGATTACCTTGTTTAGCATAGTTAAGATTATTTGCCATTAAAATAAATTGTTTAACACCTATTGAGATAGTTTCAAAAGAGCAAACACGCCCTCTTAGAAATGATAGTACATTTTTTACGATCTTGTGAGATGCTTTTGTAAAAAAAGGAGGCATCTATAATATGGGGTATCAAAATCTGTTAGAACTGATACATGTACGATAGTTAAAAAAATAATAAAAGCAAAAATAAATAATATCAGAAAATGTTAATCAAGAAATATTCTCATTATTAACCCTAGTCATTCATAATTAAGACACGTTTAGTTTTCTCCTGCTATGATTTTGTCAGACCAGATATTTTGTGTAAAATTATTTCATAAAATACCCGTGCTCCACTGCGTAGTTCAAAGGTCTCTTATGATTCACAGAGGCCCAAATCTACAGATCAAGCTTCTCTGTTATCCCCAACGATTTCTATAATTTACCCCTAGGAGGACCATAATTAAAAGCAAGCCCTATCAGAACATCAGCTGCCACTAGCTTGTGAGTGGGGCATGAGTACTATTTCAAACATGGTGCCCATGGGATCCAGAGGGGGGGGGGGCAGGAACACAAGATTCGATGGCAGATTAAAGTTAAAAAACCCTGAAAACCTATTTCTAGACCCCATCATGTTTGAGTGACCTTCTGGGCACATTCTAGCCTCTTCCCCTTAGTAGGAAGCTACCATATATAGATAAGGGCACTACCCCGAGCCCACTTACCAAGTTTGGTCCTGCTAGCACTAATATTGTTGTAGGAGTTCACAGATAAACAAACAAATTCTCAAACGTACAACGTTATCTAATACAGGATAAAAAATTACTCTATACACGTATATATATATATATACAATCTCTTCTTTTATATTCTAAATGCAAATTATAGGGTATTGGAGTTTGGAGTTATCTGTTCTGCTTCTATTGAATCGACATT